ACAGCTCCTTCCTGCTCCCTCCTGCAGCACCCATGGGGCAGGACACGGCACCCACACCCTCAGCACTCACCCAGCAGCCCTCCGAAGGTGATGGCTGGTGACAGTGCAGCAAAGTAGATGAAGATGACAGCTGCAATGCACTGGGGGTCCAGCGCATCCCTGAAGTCACTCAGGTACTTGGGGTACCGCCTCTGCACATCCCGGATAAGTCCCCCAAAGGGTCGGCCCGTGCGCCGCAGGGGGTCATCATCCTCCCCCTCGCCGTCGCCCTCCACCACCTTCAGCTTCAGCAGCGCTGTGCCCCATGGACAGACAGATGGACAGTGAGACCCTGCCGGTTGGTGCCCTCACCCTGCCCTGGTCCCACGCCACCGGCACCTTTCTCCTCGGGGGACTTGGGCTCCAGCAGCAGCCTTCGCTCCTGCTCCTCCCTCTTCTTCAGCATCTCACGCTGGAAGTGGGCGACGCTGCGCAGCAGCTCCTCGCCCTGCACCTCGGAGGGCGGCAGCACCACACTGCAGTCCAGGAACTCATTGATGGCATTGAGGAGGTCGTGGCGGTCATCGGCCAGGTACGCGGCCTCATGGAATTGCTGGTGGGGGGACAGAGGGGTCAGGGTGCCCGCCCAGGGACGCTGCAGGTCCCTGAGCCCTGTGGCACCACTGGGGATGTGGCTCTGACCTTGTCAGACATGAGGGTGGAGATGGAGCGCCCAATCTCATGGTAGTCCATGTGGGTGCTGCTGGGTCCCAGCAGCACAAAGAGGAACCGCACGGGGACAGGCACCTCCAGTACCGAGTCCAGCTCCACTGCCTCCTGCAGCCGAACGAAGGCCATGGTGGGCTGGTCCAGGAACTCCACACAGCCTGTGGGGCACAGGGGTTCATGGTGGGAGCTCAGCACGTGGTCTTCAACCCCTGCCCGCCCTGCTCACCCCATGCCACCCCTCCATACCTACAAGCACCACCGTGGCCTCAGCATTGTCCGGGATCTTCTCCAGCAGCTTCAGCTCGTGTTTGGACTTGGAGCGAGTGATGCCAGCTGGGGGGGTGGGGGTGAGGACCTCCCTCTGCGTGGACAAAGGAACAGCAGGGCTGGTGTCAGGGCCCCTCCCAAGGATGAGGGGTGATGCAGGCAGGGAGGAAGGCACAGGCAGAGGGATGGGGACGGTGTGGCACAGCCAGGGGAGCCGGGCTTACCTCCCGTTCCACATCAACCCGCGTGTCGTGCTCCATGGCATGGCCAGCAATGAGGGGATCGGTGACAGCCGGCTCACTACCCTCAGCCACGTGGTTGGTGCTGTGGTGGTGCACAAGCAGGGAGCCCAGGCTGCCCGCAGAGATGTTTCGGGGGAAGGAGAAGTCCTTCTCGTCGCTTGGGTGGCTGCAAGACAAAGCCAGGGCTGCCTAGGGTGGCTACGGCACAGCCATCCCTGCCAGCATAGCACACACTAGTGATCTGGGGACAGCATGGTCCCCACAGCTGCAGGGAGCGGAGCCTGCAGATGGGTCTGTGGATTGCTGTCCCCCACATTCACCTGTGCTTGAGCAGCAGTGCCCGCAGCACATTGGCACGGTCCTCGGCCCGGATCTGGTCAGTGATGACCATCTGCTCCACCACTTGGTGAGCCACCCCTGGCAGCGTCTTCTGGTCCAGGTCAAGGAGCACAGCTCCTGGGTAAGGGAGAGGGCACTGAGACAAGCACAGCCGGGACCCCCGCACCTCCTCAGGGTCTGTAGGGCTGCTCCTGCCTCCTTACCGTGTGAGAGGGTCTTGCGCAATTCCAGGAGGCTGCGGAAGGACAGGGAAGCCACATGCGGCTTGCCCCAGCGGTCCGTCTCCTCCTCCACATCCTCCTCGAACTTAATCCAACGTGCCGTCTCCTTCCACTGCAGCTCCTGGTTCTTGTCCACCACCAGCTCATTCAGCTCCACGAATACCTGCCAGCATGGTCCGGTTGGTTAGCACCTCCCCAGCTGAGATGCACCCACCCAGCCACTCCCCATTCCTGTACCACGTTGTGCCAGGACCCCTACCCTGCCCAACATCTCCCACTGGGTCCCCGCACCTCATGGGGCTGCCTGTCCTGCTTGCGGTGCCGTGTCATGGGCTCCTTGTGGTCCT